TCATAGCATTTTAATCTATTTTCCTGCTAAGTTGTCTATCTTCTTCTTATTGATTGATAAGTAGTCTTTGTTTATTAGGACATTTGCCCTTTGTTTCATGTATGAGAAATACTCTTTCTCAGTTTCTTATCTATGTTTTCACTTTGTTGATGCTTTTTCTCCATGTTAATATATAAATAAATAGAAGAAGTAAAGCTGAGAAAGGGAGAGTAAGAAGGAGTCTTCTTGGCTGAAGCCCTGTTTTCCAAAAGTGTCCATAAAATGGACTAGTAACACCATGAGTGAAGGGGCCATGGAAACTATAAGCTGGTTGTTACCCTTGGGAAAATGTGCCTAACTTTCCTTAGATTGAAAAGCCACAAATAAAGATTTCCCCAGTGAGTACTGCTTCTTTTGGAATCACCAATAGTCAGAGCTTAAAATCAATCAGAAGACAGAGAAACCTCTACTCTCTAGAGGTCTGGAAGAAATAGGATAGGCATCTTGTTCTTGTTCATCTCTGAGGAGTTCTGCTGAGCACTGTGCCCGGCAGTATCATTCAACTTTGGGCTGAATGAATAGATGAATGCGTATGAATTGAGATAAATGAGTACGGACAAAATGACTCTGCAGGCATGGGAATTTCAATCTAAATGGATGAATTTATATGCAGCAGCACTAATTTAAAGACAACTCGGTAAGAGGAATAATTTTATAATACTAACTTGTTTGTTTTCACATTTCTGCTACATGAACAACAGTGCAAAATCATTCACTCTCAGACCCCTTCACACATAAAGTCAATAAATACTCATAGATTCAGACCTCACAACTATGCTACTGGAATGTTAGATTCCAGTAGACATGTGAATCCCACCCATGTCTAGAAATTCACTTACAGATGCTCCCACGGCCCCTGTAATTCTGACCCCTTGCATGTGTGCACTGAGATGAGATGGGACATAAGGTCTCTCTTTACTTTGGACACAGCACTGTCTGAGTAGTGGGCCTTGCTGTTGGGAAAGCATTTCAGTTTTCAAGCCCACATTCTCTTGGAGTGGCTTGAAAAATTACATACTCTGAGATTTGGACCATGAACTAAATGGCAGGCACATTGTTCCCCCAAGATGGGAACTATCTTCAATATTTCAGGATTTTGGTTCAATTTTGTAGATACAAGCAATTTTGAAGCTGCTGTAAAGTTGATCTGAATTATCTGAAAATGCATCTGGACACTTAATGTCTGATCCTACTTGGAATGATGGTGATAACTGGTAGGTTTTGGTTTATTTGGGTGAAATGTTGGCATTTCTAAGTGAGGTGATGGGCACAGCCAACCTATGAAAGTATGTCAGACCTGTCTGAATTTCCATAGAAATTTGATTTGAATCTCAGGGAAACAACCTTTCCTTTTGTCTCTTCTCAGTTACTCTCTGCTGACTCATTCTCAAAAGGAACTAAAGTTGTAGCCCAGGATAGCTGGCCCAATTGAAAAAACAGCTTGTGGTGAAATCTCCAGAACACTGCGAAAGAAGACACATTTAAAGGAGTGAAAGGATAATCATATTTTTATGAGATCCGGTGAAATAGAGTTTCTTCTCCCTCCCCTGACTCCATGTTTAGTAAACAGGTATCTTTAAAGACAGCCGAAAGCACGGGCAGTTGCCTGAACCTATCCCTGGATGTCTAATCCTCACTGCTACTCACTTCTTTTGGCCTCTGATAAGTGATGGAGCCACTCCCATCTCCACTTCCTAAAGAGCAGGATGAGAATAGGAAGGATCACTTCCTAGGAGATTTGCACAGCTATGTAGGTCATCCCTCTATTAAAAATGTTGTGGTTCTTCTTTCCATATATTTTATAAAACCCAAATTCTTTGTTATGATATTTAAGGTCCTCCAGAATCTAATTCCAACCAATCTCTCCACTCCTACCTTCTCCTTCATATGCATTCCCCCACTAAAGTATTCTACTTTCCTAGAAAGCCCTTACACCTTATCTTCCTGTGTGAGTCCTACCCGTCCCTCAAAGCCAAGGTCCAGCCCACCTACGCCGAGAGGCAGGGAGGCTGGTGTGTGTAGAAAAAGCAAGCATTCTGGAGTCAGAAACACTGGGCTTGAAACTCAATTCTGTCATCTATTAGATGCCATCTTAGGCAAGTTACCTAACCTCTCTGAACTTTGACTTCTCCGATTTAAAGCGGAGATGTGATGGTGTTGCCTTGCATAGGGCTGTGGGGAGGATTAAACGCAAGAGTGTATGTGAAAGTGCTTTGTAACCAGAAGGGACTACATAAATGTTATTATTAGGTCTTCTCTGTCTCTCCAGTTGAAACTGCTCCTTCCTCCCTCAAGGCTAGCATGACACTCACTGCGCACACATACACACACATATACACACACACACACACGCACACACACGCACGCACGCTCGCGCGTGGCTTATCCTCCTGCTCAGTCTCCAGGGCAGCAGCCTTTTTGCCACTGGCATTGTATCTTAACAGCACTTAGTCACCCAGTTCAGTCCCTGCATAACAGTCATGCAAAAGACCTTAGATTTGCATGGTTACTGACTTGCATTCATAAGGCTGGCATCAGTTTATGATGCCAATGGGGCTAAGGGTACAGATTCCCAGAAGGCCAGCTTTTCACAGAAAAGGGTTATTCTATGGATTGTCTAATTCTGTCAAACTTCCAAGGTACTGGCCCTGGGAACGACAATGCAGGGATAGACAAACCCTATTCATTGCCTCTGAGGAAACATCTCTGTACACAGGCTGCTGATGTTGGGTCTGCCAGGTGAGTAGAAGAATTAGAGTGACATCACTTAGTAATACCATGCCACTGGTAAATTAATACATGAATGGGATGAACACTATAGATATAAATCATTGAAGCAACAGAAAATGAAACAGGGTGTAGTCTTCTGCAGAGGAAAAGACACCTGCACAGCTCTGAGATTACTAAAAAAGCTATTACTACTGGCTGAAGATTTTGTGCAATTGTGTGTGTGTGTGTGTGTGTGTGTGTGTGTGTGTGTACATAGTGACCAATGTCCTTTAGTCTTCTCAATTTGTCACAAAACAACAAGCAAAAGATAGACTTAGAAAGACTGTTTTAAGTACAGGCCAAAAAAAGAAGTCATGTTTTTCAAAACAAAACAAAAACATTATTCTATACCTACATAATGCAGCTGGTTGTCTAAAATGAATGAAAATAGGAGATTTCCCATTCTAATCCTAGATGGTTGGTTCTTAATCTGCAAATCTGTTTATCAAGCTTCAGACAGAATGAGACTTCTCCTAGAGAAGACTAAGACTTTGCTGATAGCCTGAGTGTTGACTTACAACTTGGGGATGTTTTCTGAAGTTTGAAGTAGGATAAAGGCCTCAGTCCATTAGAAATACTGCTTGGTGCTTTGTCATCATAAAAATTTTCCCAACTTTTTTTGTCGCTAGGGCAACTCAGTACTAGCGTTAGACTAATGTTCCATTTCTAGAAAATAGCCTTGGTTTAAATCAATCACTTTCTAAAACCAAAGCCAACTTAACTGGTTGACCCCAAACAGAAGGAGATATTGAAATCCTAAATCTTATTCAAGACCTACTTTCCACAGAGTCTGGAAGGTTGGTCCATAAGATATGTTCTAATGTATTGAATATATTTTATTTAAATAGTCAAATATTCAATTATTAAAAAAATTGAAATAAGAATTCACCCACCTGTCCTGGTCTGTAGAGGGGCCTATTGGCTATTTAAGTAAAATATTGTATTTTTTGTTGCCTCCTGGTAATGAAGACCTTACTTGTCTACAGGAAAAGAAGGATTTATTTTGGAAAACAGTTATGTAAAAATCCTATTCAAAAATTTGGAATTTTTTTACAGTACGGAAACAATTTAAGATGGTAGTAATACATTTTTCATTAAATAACAGAAGTGTCTTTAGTCCGAAGTACCAGATTCTTCATGATTTTTTGTTTAAAGCCTTCTCGGTCTGTTTCTGTTTCTTTCTCTCTCTCTCTTTCACACACACACACGCACACACATACACGCTGCCTCCAGGATTCTATAATTCATAATAACGTAATGAGAGCAACTAAAATCTTCATGGTATAGTGGAAAGAACACTAGCTTGAGGGCTAGAAGCCTTGAATCTTCACTCTAGCTCTGTCCGTAGCTGGTGTGTGATCTTGGATAATTCACTAAGCAAATCTGGGCCTCAGTGTCCTCAATCATAAAATGAGAATATCAGCTAAATAATCTCTAAAGCACTAAAGTTGCAAACCTGCAAACTTAAATTTGAACAGCAGCAGAAGTGGAAGGCAGCTTTTTTGCAGAAATTATTCACAAACAAACCAGGATTCACCATTTGGTTATTACCTGAGGGGAGCAATTCTATATGGTCAGGGGGACAGATAAACTGATGAGTCTGTCTTGTCTGGAGTTCTCACGAACCGAGGTGATATGAAGGTTAAAGGTCGGGGGAGGGGCTGCACTGTTCAAAGTGAAGGCAGCATCCCTTTTTGAGGACAGAAGTCAAGTCTTTGTCCCAAGTATTCCTCACTCTCCTGCTGAGTCCTGGGATACCATCCTAGAGTTTCTGGATGGGACAAGCATGCCCACTCAGTGATAGCCTGTGCTCCTGGCCTATCTGACACACGGCCTGGGCTCTCTGCTGATTTCCAGAGCCCGGATGTAGCTCAACCGCTCTTTCCCGTTTTGCTCTCCCATCATTTGCTGCTTGGACGGTGCTGCCCTTTTCTGAGGTAAAGGATGAAAACTGATGGTAGTTTTGCTCAGTTGTGACTCTGTTCAAGGTACCCTCCCTGACCATCCTGGCTGATGCAGCTCCACCACTTTCCGTCCCCTAACCTGCTTTACTGTTCTTTGGAAGACGTATCACACCCCGGACATAGAGTCATGTATTTACGTGTCCATCACCTCCACTGGAGTGTAAATTCCAGCAGAATTTTGATCTCTGTTTTATCCTTAAAACATAAAGCAAAGCCTTGGAACATAATAGACACATAATTAATATTTGTTGTATTGATGAAATATGTATTATGGCAAATCCAGACCATGATTTGATTTTTTGACCAATTGATCCCCATAAGCCCTATTCCCAAGGAGAAATTCAATCAATGCGCGTTCAACTAAAGTACCAGACTTTATTTGATCCTTACTGTGACTTAGGGCAAGAAGGTACTTTGGCCTCATTTTATAGATAAGGAAACAGAGACTCAAGGAGCTAAGTGCCTGGCTGCAGAGTATGCAACAACTAAGTAGAAAGCTGAGAATGAACCCAGGTTTTCTGACTCCCAGTCCGCTGTTTATTTCCCTGTTTCCCTATTTCATTCACCATGTCTGCACCCTCTCTGACTGTTTCCCCATCGTTAATGGCACCATGTGTACTGAATCAAGCTCCCATAGATGAAATAATTAGATGCAATTGAAACCCGCCTACAACTAAGACGCAGTTTTTGAAACCAGGTCGTTTCTTAGAGCAACAACCAGTACCACGTGCTTTTCAACACTGATAATATCACTTTTCAATGCTGATAATATCACTGTGGGGTGCAGGGGCAGGGTGGGGCGTAAATATCGCAAGTTAACTTGTCTGTAGCAAAAGAAGAGTGGAATGGCTCCCAGAAACTTTGGTCCTCCCAACGTGATGCTCAGAGGAGACATTCTTGGACAGGAGAAGCGAATGTGATACGGAAGTACTTATCATAACAGGGGCAACGAGATTGAGATTTTGTAGTCACAGAGTTGTGCAAGTTATGCATAAAATAAAGGGCTTCTGCAAAGAAATCCAGACTTGCCTGACATCCTGGACAAAATACCTCCTCAGTGCTGAGACCCATAGGTATTTGGAAATATGGACACGCCTTATATTTGAGGAAGAAATACACAGGTGCACAAAAATCACATCCCAGAATTACTCAAAGATGATTTGTCAAGGCCATTCAAACTGGGAACACACATTCTGGATTTGTGTCTAGAAATTAGATATGGTATACAGTGTCTTCAGATCTCTATCAGTATAGACAGGACTTTGTGGACCTGTAGGTACATGTTCGTGTAAGAGCATATGAGCATGATATTTTAGGAACAAAGAGGATTGGAAAGATACATTGTAGAGGTAATTTAGTCCCCCTGTTTCATTTGCACAACGATTTTGAAGCTTAAACAGGCTTAATGGACTATGCATTCCCACATGGAGACCAGGAGTCAGCTGGCCTCTCCTTGTCCACTGGCCTCTCCAAGCACAGAGGGAGTGGGGTCTGGGAACCCCGAGATCCAAAGGAAACTATAGCTTTCACACAATTTAAATATCAAAGTATACACTAAAGACACACTCCTTCAGAGCTTTGGAGACTGAAGATAGCTTGAAAACCACTGCTCTGAGGCTGAGTCTGCACAGCCAGCTAAGCTGGATGAGAGACAAGGGTGCTCCTGGGGAGAGTCTGGAGGGCCTCACAGGCTCCCGCCACCCAGAGGAGAAAGAAGACCTTTACTCCCATCCTCGGCATGAGGCGCCAGGGGCCTGGTCTAAGCCTGTTCTCACTGCCTGCCATGCCAATCCCTATGTTGTGTATCTAAAGAAGTTAGCACATCCTGGGTACACAGACCACAGCTTCCTCCCTTTGCTGAGGGCCTGTGCTTAGAGGTCTGAGCATCGTGGAGATATTGCTTCACTTCTCCTTAGGGTGTCCACATCAAGACCCTGGAGCCATCTTACCACCCTTCCTGATCAGAGGGGGGCCTTCTAGGTAGGTGGTATGTCCTTACGAGGGGGAGTTTTCTAGAGTGCAGCATCTTATTACTAAGGCAAGAAGACAGAGACATTTGCATGCACGCATCAACACGAAGAGAAACAGGCATAAAATGACCAGTGACCACCCACCCTCACTACAGGAGTCCTCTCTCACCCACTCCTCACCCACACACTCTAAAGTGGAGGAACCCAGACTCACACAGGCTCCGCTCAACCCATTACAATCACTTATCTCATCTCCAGATTTTCAAGTTCCTTTTGCTGGTGCCTTTTACCTAAGTCAGCATATTTCAAACTTTCAGAGAGAGAGAGAGAAAAAACCTTAGAAAATAAAAACCACTACCCCACCCAAATGATAAAAATCTCTTGATTCTCCAAGCCCAACATCTTAGCCCTCTCTTACTCAGCCCAGGGTAAGGCGTCGGTTTCTTTGGGTTCTGGGGAATGGCTGGCTCTGCCGGTCCCCACATCACCAGCCTAATAGTTTTTCCAGACCCACGGTTGCTTGGTGGTGTGCGACAGCCTCGGAGCCCGCTTCTGGCCCCATTCATTCCTCTCAGTCCTCTAAGGCCAGTCACATTAGGGGGTGTCCCTCTTCTCTGCTCCTGGCCCCACTTCCCCCTTCCAGAGGAGTAGGCAGTCAACCCTCCTGAAGTCTGACATGAAACCCAGACCCTCACCCGTCTCTCTGCGCTGCAATTTGCAAACCAGACCCAGGCGTGAGGTGGGGTGAGAGCCCATCAGGGGTTGGGGAGTAGGATTTGGCAGGGCAGTCCCGGGGTCTCCGACTCAGAGCCAGCCACCTTAGAAGCGGCTCGGCTCGGAAGGGCGCGGGACCCTCTTTGAGAAGACCCCGGGAGCCCTTGCCCTGGAGCCAGAGCCCGCCCGGGCGCGCAGTGCGGGAGCCGGGCGCAGAGGAGCGGCGCGGACCGAGGCTGTGGAAGGATATTTCTGCCGGAGAAGCGGCGAGGCCGGCCCGTTAGTCCCGGGGAGCCGGCAGCTCCCGAGCGCCGAAGACCGGGCAACAGAAGTACCAAGAGGAAGGGAAACCAGCCCGCGCTGACATGTAAACAGGGGCTTCCATCTGGAGGAGCAGGCTCACACAGACCCCCAGACATACTCACTTGCACCCCGATCCGCCTGCAACCAATCCACTCGCCCGCCCGGGGGCCCACCAGGCGGGGACCCGAGCTGGCGGCGGCTGTAGCTCTCGCCCCCGCCGCCTTCGGCCTCGGGTGGGAGGAAGCCGGCCGCCAGGCGAATGCCCAGCGCCGGGGCCAGGGCGCCCTGCTTGCCGGGTGGAGGGGTGGACCCGGAGGTCTCCGGCCTCTGGCTTCGATCCACGCCGGGGGTCCCCAGGCTTCACGCCGCCCCCGCCCGCAGCCCCGCCGGCAGCGCGGTGGGAGGGGGCCGGGCTCAGCTTTGGGGCAAGAGGGGCGAGGGAGATCGCCTTCGGCGGGGAGCCGGGCGGATCGCCCCCGCGAGTGAGACTCGCCACCGAACGCGGGAGGAGACGGCGCGAAGCCGGGGCGCGGAAGGAAGGGAGAGTGGCCACGTCTTCCGGGACCCCGGCGCCCCGCGCCCAGTCAGCCTGCCTCCTCGCCTCCCTGGCCGGCCCCGCCGCTGCGCGCCCACTGCCCCGTCGCTTACCTTAATAGTCCCGTCCATTTGTCCAAGTCTGCAGCCGAGCCCCCCAATATTCCACACATTGACCCGGTTACAGCCTGACCTCGCAGCCCCTTCGGATTAGCCCGGCGCGGCCTCGCTGGCGCCCTGGGCCCTCCCTGCGTGCCCCCCGCGAGCGCCCTGCCCTCGCTCCCCTGTGCACGTTTGTTGTTGTAGCGGAGCGAAAAAGAGACAGTTAACCGGATGAAACTTTTTTTCAGCTAATTTTGGGAAGTGACTTCACTTTGCGAATCGGGGAGGAAGTCCTATCTCTCTCTCTTTCTCTCTCTCTCTCTTTCTCTCTCTCTCTCTCTGTCTCGCGCTCTCCTCTCTTCTCTCCCCTCTGCTCTCTCTGGTCTTCCCTCCCCCAACACCCCCTCTTCCTCCCCTCGGCTGGTCCTGCTTTTCGCATCACTCACAGTATATAAATATACGTGGAGATGCCCAGATACATTCATGTAGTGCGCACACAGGATGCTTGCTGCTGGGAGATAAGAGCGAGCTGGGAACAATGCCGGGGTCTACGCCCGGCGCCCGCGCCCTGATTCCCGCAGTCTGCACCCCCGGCACCCCCAACACCTTCCCCCCGAAACTCCAAAACCCAACGTCTTTGGCCTCCTTCCTTTTCCCGGGACTGTTGGCTGAAGGTGGCCCTCCTGACTCATTCACTTTCCGTTTCTTCCCACAGATAGGTTCATTAATGCTTTTTCCAGCCGGAGTCAAACTTTTTTGGGGGTTGGAGGGCGGGAGAGATTGCTCGCGCTGGGGATAACCTGGAGCCCGCTGTCCGGGAAGATCCCGACGCAGACCGAAGCAAACCAACCATTAAAGAATGCATCCAATGGGAACTTTTCCACTCAGGCCCACGGCTGCCGAGAGGCGGCCGACTCCCGGAGCGGCTCACTTATCCACGCGGACTCGGGGCGGTTTCGGACGGACTCCGGCCGTCGGGGGCGCAGACTCGGTTCCCAGCGCATTGTTAGCAGAAGGGTGCCCTCGGGGCGGCGCGCCTGGGCCCCTGCTCCTGGAGAGCTCCCGGCGCCCACCGAGGGTGGGGACTGGCGGTACCCTCGGCCGCCTATCCCCACCTTCTAGGTCAAACCCCTCGCGCCTACCCGGACCCCACGGCCCAAACCCCGGCACTCAGGCCAGAGCCGCCTATGCAATGCCACCCCTGGCTCCAAGAAGCCTACACTCCAAGCCTGTCAGCAGGTCTCAGGAGCGCAGCATGCAACATCGCGGCACAGACTCGGACTTCTCACCGGGCGAGACCCGGGACCCCTGCTCCGGACCATCACCCCCACCCAGCCGTGAGGCCGTCCTCCCCTCGGCCCGCCTAGCCGGCCCCGCCGCCCGGAGCCGTCCCCGGTGCCCCTGCAGTGCTGCCGCACGCTCCAGTTGAGGCAGCTACAGGAGTCCCGGCGCAGCGAGGCGATTCCTCGGGCGCGCTCAGCCTAACTCCCTTCTCCCCGACTCCCAAACAGGTTACCTTGTCCACGCTCTCCAGACCACGCTTTGGACTTTCTCACTTTTATTTAAGAGTCGACCCGGGGAAGGAGGAAAAAAATCCACAGGAGATCCGAGTCAATTGGAAAGAAAAAATTTCAAAAGGGTGTCCACGGCGGCGAAAAAGGTGACATTAATTCTTTATTTCTTCAGGAGCAATTGAGCCCAAGAGCTCGCTCGCTTGGCTCCCTCCCTCCCTCCCCCCACCCGCCTCTCGAAATTAGTCTCATCAATTCAGCTCCAATTTTGGGTTTGAATACAGACACGGGTCTGAACGTGACCAGACCTGGAGTGGCGGGTGCAGCCTGCCAGCAATTGAGACTTGGTGTGTGTACGGAGGAGTGGAGTGGGGGTGGGAGAGGGAGGGGGGGGGGGGGGGTGGGGGCCGGGCCGACCCCCCCCCCCCCCCATCTCCTGTCTGCTTCTCAATCCAGGGGTCTGCTCCGGGGCTCCCCTGGGACCGCCACATCTGGTTACCGCTAGCGGGGTCAGTCCCCCCCTTTGCCTGGGGCCACCAGTTCTGGAGTTCAATTAAAAGAAATCAGGCTTAACCCCTTCCTCCCCTCGGCCCGGCAGCCCGCCTTCTCACTCTTCCCTCAGCGTTTCCACATGCTTTCCAGAGAGGAAAGAGGTTAAAGGGAAAGGAAGAATGAATTACATCCTTTCAAACCCCAAATTGTTTCCTTTTCAGCCCAGACTCTGCCGACCTTCAAACGACAACAGGGCTTTCAGGAGGGTGCGGGGAGACAGCTTCGCACCCGGACCTGGCCAGAAACCCGGAACCCGCAGCCGCTCTGCCCCTCTTTCAGGCAGAGGGGACTCCGACTTCATCACCGGGAGGCCCCCCGGGTTGCTGGGCAAATCCTGAGCGCGGTGATGGCCACCCCACGCCAGCTGCAGCTCCCCTGTCTGCACACACTCCTCCCAGGGCTTCAGGAGGCACATCTGCGCTGAAACCGTTGGCTGAGTTTCTCTTCCTAACTCCTGTTGCGCCTGGCAAATGCCATTGTCTTCACTGCGCAGATCAGTACAGTCACCCCAACATCCCTAGCACCCCCAACTCCTTTTAGCAGGAGATGCCTCTCCCATTGGGAGTGCTCAATATGAACTAAAATGAGGACCTGTCCTCCTCTTTTAGCTGAGGAACTCAATAGCACTTTCTGTTTCTGCCTGTAAAACCAAAGCTATGCCAATTTCGTAATTTTGAAGATGGTGATGGTGGGGAGGGGCTGGCATAGGCATAACTGTCACCCCCTTGTGACTCACCAGCTGGCAGTGGTGCCATGCCTTTTGCTATTCACCAGCCCCGCCATGAGAAGCTTCTGTCCATTCACAAGGTCCTCTGCCCAGAAAGAAGAACCCCGAAACTCTGAATAGCTCTCTGAGGGAGTATAAGATTGCCTCCATCCGGTGTAGACATGCTGGGGGGCAAGTTTGCCCACTTACGTAACACTGGGTTTAATGCTCAACTCTATGGCTGCTGCTGCTTTTTTTAAATCCCGAAGTGGGAAAAAGCCCTAACCAAACACAACAGTAAACAAGTTTGCCCTGTTTAATGTGGTTACCACCAGACATCTGGAAAGATGGTTTGATCCTGGCAGCTCACATTGTTTTCACGAGCAGCCAAAGAGAATATTTTGAATGTTTGCATTGAGACAAATTGATAGAGAGCTTGTGGTGAGGCCGCTACAAATGAAAACTTTCTTGGAGTTGGTGTGTGTGTGTGCGGGGAGGGTTTCTCCTTCTCTCTCCTCACATTTCTCCCCTTCCTCCCTTTCTCTCTCTCCTCTCCCCTCCTCCCTTCTCCTCTGGCCTAGCTAGGGACTGGTGCCCTGGGCCCACACACTTGCACACACCCTCTTTCCTGGCTCATCAGAGACTGTGCTGCCTCTCCCTTTCCCAGACTGGGCAGGGCTGGTGACCAGGAGCTGGTGCTGGGTACCATCCCTGCCACCAGCCCCACCTGGCTTTCAAGTCAGGGGAAGCTCACAGCTAAGGAAGCTTGCCAACATTTAAAACAAAAGCTACCCACTGGGAAGTCGGGGGGGGGGGGGGGGGGGGGGGGGGGGAGGGCAGCAAAACAGCCCACCTCACATTTCTAAGTGTAGGGTCACTTATGGGAAGCATGCACAAAGGGGCGAATATTCAGCAAACATTTGGATTCGGAGCACTTTCATTGGAACTTTGATGGGATGGCTTGCCTTGCACCATCCGCACTTGACAATATTTTCAAAGATGCGGAAGTCCTGCTTCCCCCGGGAGTCGAGCGGCGGGGTGAAACGTGTCTTGGCTCGCTCAATGTCAGCCCTTTTGACCCGGTCAAGACTTTCCAGACACGGCTTCCCGGGCTTCTTCGGTCCCAGCCTGGGTTGGGGGTGGGAAAACGCGACAACTGTTGCCCGATCCCTGGGGTGCCTCAGGACCTCGAGACGGTCCTATTGCTTGAAACCCTGAAAGATGCCAGGCCTGGTAGAGCGTCTCGGGTGGATCCTTCCCCCTCGGTCCTCCCTCGTCCCCCGCCCCTCCGGTCCAGCGCGGGCTCGGCGGGTATTCGAGCTGGCAACTGGCGGGTGGGGGGATGGGGGGGGAGTGAAGGCGGGGGAGAGGCGGGGGCACGGGGGAGGGATGGGCCAGCCAGCGCCAAAACTCCAGACTGCACAACTGCAGCTTCAAGTGTCTGGCCCCTCGCTCGAGGCCATAATTAATTTGAGATTTATTTTTATTGGAGAACTCGAGTCTCGTCTGACCTTAGCCAAACAAGGCAGCTCGAGCCGCCCCTGGATGCGCTTGAATGCCGGGGAATATTTCTGCAGGAAGGCTCTGCAGGCGCGCCTGCTTTGAATTTGTTTCTCAGACTTCATCTACTCACAGATTGAAGGAAGATTTAGAGCCTCTGCTCGCCCTGCCCGCTCCCCACGCTCGTTCTTGCCTTAGCGCCAAGCGGGTTCAAAACGCAACGTGGGAGGCCTCTGTGGCGGGAGGGCCGGGGCCCGGCAGGCTCGGGAGGGGGGCGTCTCCACCCTTCCAGCCCCGGGCGCTCCCGGGCTGGTCCCTAGACCACGCGGCGTCGATGAGGAAACCCCAAGGGAGTCCGAGGCTGACCAGAGAGCGCAGGCTGACAAGAGGTGGAGACCAGCCAGGTGCCAGGACCCTCACCCAGTGGTGGCGCCTAGATGGGGGCCCTGGGGGAAGGGAGAATTCCAGGCTCTCCGGTCTCCCTCCGGCCTGCCTCCCAGGCATCCGAAACAGCATTCATTCTAAGTACAGACGTATGTCCTTGAAACGCCGCTTAAGGACCTGCCAGCCAGATGCTGGCCCTGGGTCGTATTGCCGTGAGCATGCCTGGGCTACCAGCCTCCTTTCGTCGGGTGGGGGTGTCACCCTCAAATGCAGCATGGGCGGAATCCGCAGGCTGGTTGGTGGGGGAGCAGCGGATGCGGGAGACTCGCAAAGAGGGAAAGTGGAGGACCCTGCCAGCCTCGCGTGGGGCGGGCAGCGGCCTGAAGGGATGTGCTCTGCGCGCTGGGGCTGAAAGTGCTTTGCATGGTGCAGGCACCGCGCAAGTACGTGGTCGGGATTACTCCATTGGGTCTCCTGCGCCCTCCACCTTATATCTGCAAGTGGAGCGTGCTGGTTGACCGTTCCCACTGGGGGACCTGGCGGCTTGGGTTTGAATTCTTGCTCTACACCTAGCAGCTCTGTGGCCTTGAACAAGTCCGTTAACCTCTCTGTGCCTCAGTGTCCTCATCTGTACATTGGCGTTATAATACGACGCACCTCAAAGGACTGTCGTAAAGATGAAATGAACCTTTAGCACTAGCCTGGCAGTCAGTACAACTTTGCCCTTATGATTTGTATCTTGGCCCTGCCCCTTGCAAGCTGCGTTACATTATTCCCTCAATGCCTCACTTCCTCATCTGCAAAATGGACTACCTCCTACGGTTCTTATTAATATTAAAGTCAGTACAAATACAATGCTTAGAACAGGGCCTGGCAAAGGTAAGCATCTTTACGTTACCACCATTGCTCACCTACTGCGTGTCAGTGTCTTAAAGTTGCCGGTGATCCCCCTTTGCCTGTCCCTTGCTCCTTCCAGCCTCACATCCTTCCTGAGCGCTCCCCTCCGTCCCTCCCGCAGCTCTTTGCCGGTCTCAGAACCCAGATCGCTGCCGGGTGGAGGGGGCACCCCTGGCTCCTGAGGACCTGGCTCGGCCGGCTCCTGGGGCCCGGGCGCCTAGGCCCGCGGTGTTTGTCAACAACCTCGGAGCGGGTGCCTGACGCAGAGTGGCAGGGGCTTGGCAGGCTGGGACTGTTTGTGCCCCTCTGGCAAATGGTCGGCGTAGAGAGCCGGCGGAACAGACCCAAGATTGTCCCTGCCACGCAGACCTTTCGCCGTCATCAATGCACCCCTTTGTGCAACAATACAAACTTTGTGGCTGCTGAAAAATCCATTTTTTTCCCCTTGAAAAGAGCTCCTGCGGTGAGTGGCTCCTCTGGAGGCCCACAGCTCCCAGACTGCCGCCTCTCCCCCTCCCCCGCCAGGGCCGGGTCTGCTTTCTCTCTGACCCTTGACCTGGGTCAGGCTTCTGGGCTCCCACTTGCCTCTCTAGGGTTCGTCATCCCCGAGGTTTTGGGTCTCTAGGTGTGTGCAGACCCGGGGGTCCGTGTGGTGGGAGAGAGACTGCAGTTCCCCGCTCCGAGGCCGTCTGCAGCCCCTGGGACAGAGCTATTCGGCTCGGCTCGGAGAGAGTGGGGGTGGGAGGCGTTACAGCTTCCTCAGCCTCAACCGGACACAGCGAACCTGAGCGCGCTGCAGTCTGACTGTGTATGCTCTGCCTGGCCCTGGGAGCCATCTGTCCATCCATCCACTCACTGATTATCGTCACATTGATTCACTCATTTTTCATTCATTCATCGCTGATTAAACGCCCTTCCCGGCCGAGTCTCCAGGACCTGGCTTCCCCAAAGTGACTAAAGACTCCTTCAGACCTCAGGCGGGGGTAGGGAGGGCGGGAAGATGCTACCATGTGTCAACAAATTTCCCGTTAGAGAAATAGGAGAGAGTTGGACGCCTAATTGGCGCTCCCTGGATCACATTCGAGAGTCCCCATCCCATCGAGGCGCCCGCGTGCCGGCAGACGGCCCTCCTGGCCCTCGCCTTCGCGGACGCTGGCGGGAGCGGGGCTGGGGCGCGCGGGAGCGATGGGGGCCCACTCGGGGGAGGGGTTTCGGGAAGGAGAGGGCGGGGCCGGGACCTGCGGAAGGTACGGGTAGGTTTGCCGAACCGCGGGGGCCTCCCTCCCCCTGAAACGGGGAAGGTTCAGACAGTCCCCGGCGCTGGGCCGATGCCCGGCCGCAGAGAGGCAGCGCCTGGGCGGCGTGAGGACCTCGCTGACGTCCCTACTCCGGGCAGGGCCGCCAGGTCCGCACCCTCGGCCCCGCCCCACTGGCGGATTTTCATTAAACGTGTAACCCAGATGTCCTGGCCTTGGTTTGTTTACATTCTTGGGAACTGTTCTGGAAAAAAAAAACAAAACCCTTCGATATGATGTCAAACATGGCGATCTGCGCTTTCGAGGCGCGGGTGGGGCCAAGGAAGTTGGGCTTGAGGACGAAGGGGTGTAGAACCAGTAGGAGAAGCGCATCCCCTTCGCACACCCGCTCACACACGCCCACAGGCATACATGCACACACGCGCACATTCGCACTCTCACACGCCCGGACACACAGACCCTTAACTCAGCGAACTTGCTGTGCGCCAGCGGCCGGCGCACGGCCCACCAGGACCCGACGCAGGCTCACGGGTCCAGGGGCTGGCGTCTCGGCTGCCCGGCACAGCCTACACCAGGCTCACTCACGTCCATGCTCCCAAACAGAAGCGGCCAAGAGCGTTACTACTCCACCAAGGGTTCCCGCGGGTCTGCGCCACCCTCTTCTGCTCGGGAGCGCCCCTAGCCTCGGCCCCGTCGGCCGGAGAGAGCGGCCTGCACCCTCCCGCCCGCTCGTTTCCCCGGGAAAGGGGAAGGCACCGTAGGCGGAGGGGTGGGGCCACGACGACGACATGGGAACTGGGGGTCATTACCTGTTTAAAGATGCTGTCATGTCTTACCTTGACGTAAGACGGTGTGTCAGGGACTGTCTGAAACATCTTGGTTTGGTGAGGAGGGGTCGGGAAGGCCCAAGAACCAACCTGGATAGGAGAAATCTCAGTCACCCTCGAGTGGAGCAAGGGTGAGACGGCGGGGAGCGGGTAGGGGTGATGGAGGGGGAATGCAAAGGGAGAGGAGGACTCGGGAGCTGGGAGGCTCCATAGCCTGGACCTGCTAGGGAGGGCCGGAGAGGTCAGGTACCAGTCGCCCTCCCTGTGCCTCTGCCCCCAGGCTTCAGCCTAAGGGATGGTGAAGACCAAAAGCCAGCTCAGGCCGTTGGTTCTCTTCCCGCCTGCCTCAGGGCCTGGGTAGCTTCACGCCTGGGTAGTTTCACACCTGGGGACGCCATGGCCCATCCTGGCCAGAGGAGGAACGCCAACTAGGATAGACGTAGGTCTCCTCTTCCACACAGCCCCAGGCCACAGGCAACAGATATTTGCAGAGCTGCCAATGCTTGGGCCCTCTGGCCATAGACCTTCTGCCTGACTCCCCCACCAGCCCTAGGACTCAACCAGGGTCCAGCTGTCCGCTCTTCCCTGCTAGGGGACTGCGTGGGGAGGCAGGCTGGCTCAAGGTTCTGGAGGTCTATGGAGGCCCCTTTCCTAGAGCCCCCAGCTTCTGGAAGAAAGCAGGTTTGCGGGCAGAAACCAAGACAATGAATGAGGGACCTCGTTTTTAGTGGCAGGGGAGATGGTGTCTGAGGTCTGAATATTTGGGCTGGACACAGCAAAAACTCTAGGCTGCCAGGTGCCTCTGCGTGAGTCTCTCTGTCTTGCCAAGTCTGGCGTCTGTCTCTCTGTTTCCCCTTCCTTCCTTCTCTTAAAGCATCTTTAACGTGGCAGGGTACAGCTTCTCCAGCAGCCAATGTGTTTCT